CGAGCGCGAAAACAACGAGAAGAAATGTTTCAAACCCCAACAGCCGACATAAACCCAAACCCGAGCGACACGGCTAACCTAGCCCCCGGGACGACCAACACAACACCAGACAGAACAGAGGCTCCCTCATAGCAAAACAGCATCCTGTGCACGGGTTCATACGAACACTTCAAGACCAAAATGCTGAGGCAACAGCAGCAGCCACAGAGAGACAAGACACTATATTTCAATGTAAGTCAGTGACTAAAATCACTTTTAAGGGCAATTTTGTTACAGAGACTTAATAATCCATTTTTATTTATTGCTTTGGTTGTATTTGGTTCAGCAGTGGTTTATTCAAGTGCTTTTTTGTGAACAAGTCCTTGCTGTGAGCCAGACACATTAGGCTAGTCCTCTGTTAACAAGTCTGTTTTAGGCCTGTTGTTTTTGGTTGTCTAACACTTCCTGTGTTAAATGTTCTTTAGAAAGTAAGGTTTATTGATCTTTGAAAGGGTGTATTTGCATTTTATTCCATGGTCATTATATTAGTTGAAATTGGTCTCAAAATGTCAATATTATCGTTTATCGCAATAAATTCTTGGTCAATTAATCATCGAGCAAAATCTGTTATCGTTACAGGTCTACGGTGGCGTGGATTCAACTTTTCCACTCTAGAGTGTGGTTTCACATTTTTGCGTTTTTAAGCCCCAAAAACTCCATCACCATTTAAACGTAAGACACTTCCGATAAAATATTTTGTCCTTTTTATCCGCAAGCGTTCTAGTGTAAACAGGCTCATAGACAGACTTACACAAACATGTGGAAATGAAACAAAACACAAGTCCAGGTTTGTTTTCGATGAGGTAACATGAGTTAAAGCTCACAAGAGTCCATTTTGCATAATATAGGACTTTTAATAGCAAACTAAGACAGCAGCTATTAAGAAGAAATGAATGAAAAAGTTAAAAACAGTTGAACAAGGAACAAACCAGAACTAAACCAGGACTAAACCTTGACAAAAGTGAATCTACGGCAGGACAAAAGTAAAAAGGACCAAACCAAATTAAAACTAAACATTACTTTCGCTGCTTTTTATTATTAAAGTTCTCTATATGACTGTTCATCAAAGTATTTCATTTTACATTCCACTTTCACAACGACTAAAAAGCTGTGGGGACGTGGATGGAGGAGCCACTCACTGTGAACACACATGCTTTTATTTATTTTTCAGTGGAATAAAACTTGCCTTTACTTTAGACTTTGGCAGTGTCGCAATGTGGAATATTCCAGGCCCGGGAATAACACGTCCATGGAGACGAGTGAGTAACAGACCTGCAGTGCACCTTCAGGTGTTCACTGGAGATCTTTGCTTGGACACAGACCACAAGTTGAGACCAGTAGTTCAACATAATGAAGTAAAAGTAATAAAGTATTTAAGTATAAACTGTAGGAATCTGTACCTTACTTAAGCCAGGCGTACACTGTGTGAGTTTTGGCCCATTTTGAGATTTTTAATTTTTTTTTCGGTGCAAATGTTTTTGCTGACTTTTGGCTTAACTGTGTGTCGTGTAGTAAACATAGTGTAACGCGAACCGTTTAATACCTCACGACCAGCTCCCGATCAGCAATCGTAGGTTGCAAAAATATCAAACCTGTTAGAATTCCAGTCGCCTCTCGTGAGAGTTTCGCTCTGTTGAAGTTGTTCGTTCAGTGTGAGAACATGAATCGTGAGCTGTGAACTTTTAAACCATGCGATTTGGTCGCACAGTTTGAGCTGGAGCTAAGTGACACGATTGAAAATATTGCACAGTGTACGCCCGGCAGTAAGTATATGATTCACTAGCCTGATTCATCAGCTGCTTTCACTTTGTGGAAACCGTGTGACCTCGCAGCATTAGGATTCATTCACTCGACAATAGGAAGGTACTTTTTTTATTTAACCAATCGCTGCTGTTTGGTCGTGACGTTTGTTAATGCGCCAAATCCCATAGGAAGAAGGACAATAATGTCTTTCCCCTTTAATAAAATTCACCAAACATTTCCAGCTTTAAATCCTCAATCTCGGGAATCGTTGTCAACACAGAAAATACGGCTTCGTCTACAACTTTTACTGTTGTGCTGTTCCACAAAAGGGACCCAGACAGACGCTTGAGTTTGACCTCATGGCTTCACAGTTTCTTGCAAACCGTCTAGTGTATTCTGATTCTTGACCTAGTCTCTGGAGAGAAACGAAATTGAGCAGAGGCACTAACTAGGTGGCGCCGGTCTGACTAACATTTCACTTCTACTCCATTACATTTTACTAGGACTGAAAAGTAAAAGTAGTTTCTATTATAGTTTGAGACCTGCTGAAAAGGCTGAGGGTTTGTTTTGAACATGCTTAGTTTGAGCAAACACAAACATATCAACAACTAAATCACTACACTTGAAGCTTTATTAGATCACAAAATACGCACAAAATACTAATACTAATAATGACTTTTTACTCTTTCAGTACATTTTTAAACGTGTACTTTAAAACTCGATTTATTCATGTGATACTTTTACTTTTTCTTGAGTATATCTTTACTCTGGTATCTTTTACTTCAAAGTGAACTGTGTAACATTCCTAGTGGAGGGTCTGCCACCAGCTTGTCTCCATGGAAATGTTATCACTTTGTCTAGAATGTTCCACAGGGTCGATTAAACCAATGAACACAAGAGATAAGAGCAGATGTGTGGAGAGTCGCACCTATTCACAAGAGGAATGAATGTATTTTTGAGCAATAAAAACATCTGTAATGAATAAATGCCAGATGGATAAACAATAATATCTCTATGGAGACAAGAACGTGACAGACCGTCCACCAGAAAAGTTGCGCAGTGCACCTTTAACCTTTACAAACTGTTCATTTTTTAAGCCTTCATAGTATGATTCAGGTTCAATTTGACCTGGACCAAGAATTCCCTTATAGTAAGTGTCTATCTTTCTATTTAGAATGTCTAAATAGACTGTCCCACGTTAATAAATATGTGTAATATCTAAATATAAATGTTTCAAAGAGCAGGAAGACCACATTTTCATATTTTCATGTTCTTCTTTTGCATGTATGAGACAACTGTGATGTCCTGAGTGAAAACAAACTTAGAAGAAAAGATCTCTCTCCCATTTAATTGACTTCTTTTCTTTATGTGCTCCATAAACAGGATGATCACTCTTTCGCTGTTTTGAGATTCCCCTTTGCTCCTTCAAAAACAAACAGGTGTCTAATTCTTGGAACCTGGGGCATGGGGGAATCTCAAAACAACTCTTGAACTCTGTCAACACTGTCCCATAAAAAATACATACAAACATGGTCTGTACAGTTTCAAAATTCTCTAAAACTTCCATTTTCCTTCATTTGATTCACACTAGAGCTAAAATCCATCTCAACAGGGTTAGACCTGAACCAGCCTCAGTGTCCAAACATTTGTTGCACCTGTACAAAACTATAAAATTTCTAAATATTTTCATTTTTGTGCGTTTTGGCAGAATTTAGGAAAAGTCATCGAATTTCAAGACTCTTTGATGTCAAAACGGATGAAATTTGGTTAAGGGTTAAGTCAGAATTGAGTATTTTATACACAGTGTTGGGGAGTAACAGATTACATGTACCAGAGTTACGTAATCAGAGTACAAATTATGAGTAGCTGTATTCGGTTACAGTTACTGTTTTAATGAGAGGTAATTGGATTACAGTCCCACAGTAAAGTTGTTAAATGCGTGCAGCCGACTCGTTATTAATACACCACAGTTACTTTGTTGAAATAAGTGGATTACACGGTGGTATTTTCCTGTTTTCACATTTCAGGCTAAATCCCTTTTCTTTTTCTTTTTTTTTGTAATTTCACTCATTGCCGGACACTAAACCAGGACTACATCAGGATTGAACAAGGACTGAACCCAGGTCTAAACCAGGACTAAAACCAGGGCTAAAACCAGGTCGAAAGCAGGACTAAAACCAGGTCTAAACTAGATCTAAACCAGGTCTAAACCAGGTCTAAACCAGGGCTAAAACCAGGTCTAAACTAGATCTAAACCAGGTCTAAAACAGTATTTAACAGGACTAAATCCTGCTGCGTGGACGTGTCTCCTCCTCTTCTATCAATAATATTTTTAATTTGGTTCAGTAAAGTCTGGACTTTTTATTGTTTTTTAGCAAACAAAACATCTTATGTGAAGATTTCCTCGTCTTTGTTTCTCTACAGCAAATCAAGTAATCTAAAGTATTCAGATTACATTACTCACTTTAAGTAATTTAATGGATTATGTTACAAACTACATGTTGGGGTATGTAATCTGTAGGGGAATACATTTTAAAAGTAACTTTCCCAACACTGTTTATACACTACTTTCTTGTAAAACTGAGACAAATCACTATGTTGGTAAAGATCTGCAGGGACAGGGGACACAGGGGCTCAAAACTGGGACTGTCCCGGGTCCACAGCTTGAGACACACGTGTATCGCGCCTTGGGGCTGTGGCTGCCCTAAACAAACTTTACATTACCATCTCTATAAGCGCACAGACAAGCAAATCCTCCAGCTAAACCGGTACCTTGAAGTTTGTAGTAAAATAAAACACGACCGTAGTGGGTAGCCTCTTAATTTAAAAGACAGTTTGTTGTGGTTACGAGAACAAATTACTGTTCCTGTTAATGCGAAATAATGCTTTAATTAGTTCGATTGTTAAGTCATGACGTGAGATCTGCATTGTTTGTAGTCTTACGCGCGTTTTATATAATGTTTTAATGTTGATTCCGCGTGCTTTTTCTTTAGCTAACTAAAAAAAGCTTTGGAAATCTGCGTGAAGACTCAATTTCCTCGATATTTTTGAAGTTACGTGAAAGACAGAAAAGTTTAAGGTACTTTCCAAGCACTTTTGGCAAAGTTTGGAGACTTTTACGCAACGTTTAATCTACACCTGTTTAGCCCGCCTGACAAGATGATCGACTTTCCTCAAACTTTTTCTTTCAAAATGACAAAAAAAATAAAACTACTCACCGCTTCAAACTCCGCGCTGTGTGTCGAGTTTGGGGGAAAAAATAAATAAAACTCCTGAATACTTTTTATGACTGTCGTGAGTTGATCCGTGTCGTTGGTTGTTTTGGGTTGACGGCGCTGCGTAAAAGTGAACCCCAGTCCTCCCGGAGCGTCAGTACGTACGTGTCACGCAACAGTGCCAGGCCCCGCCCCTCGTACCTGCCTTCGGAAATGACTCACCTGATACAAGAGAATTCAAGAGTTGATTTCGTAATAATGTAAGGATTTTCGAGGGGCCAATGACTAACGCGTTCCTGAGCCGATAAGAACAAGACGAAGCATCCTGTAATTCCTCCAGTGGGTGTGAGAAGTTCTGAGTCAATTATAATTCTCAAATAATGATTAAAGCCGATGTAATTTACTCTGAAACTAAAACTAAACCGAGATGAACTAATAGAGCTAAAATACTACAAATACTATCTAGCCTACTCCTCCTACTACTACTGACAGGATAAATAACTAGGATTAGGTGGTGTTGTATTCAGTGTTGGGAAGTTTACTTTTAAAATGTATTCCCCTACAGATTACAGATTATATACACCAACATGTAGTTTGTAACATAATCCATTAAATTATTTAAAGTGAGTAATGTAATCTGAATACTTCATATTACTTGATTTGCTGTAGAAAAGCAAAGACGAGGAAATCGAAACACCAGATGTTTTGTTTTGTCTGCTAAAAGAAAATAAAAAGTCCAGACTTTACTTAACCAGATTAAACATATTATTGATAGAAGAGGAGGAGACAAGGTCCGTGCGGCATGATTTAGTCCTGTTAAATCCTGTTTTAGACCTGGTTTAGTCCTTTTTAGTCCTGGTTTAGACCTGGTTTTAGTCCTGGTTTAGTCCTGTTTAGTCCTGGTTTAGACCTGGTTTAGTCCTGGTTTAGTCCTGGTTTAGTCCTATTTAGTCCTGGTTTAGACCTGGTTTTAGTCCTGGTTTAGTCCTGGTTTAGTCCTGGTTTAGTCCTGGTTTAGTCCTGGTTTTAGTCCTGGTTTAGACCTGGTTTAGTCCTGGCTTAGTCCTGGTTTAGTCCTGGTTTAGACTTGGTTTAGACCTGGTTTAGACCTGGTTTAGACCTGGTTTAGACCTGGTTTAGTCCTGGTTTAGTCCTGGTTTAGTCCTGGTTTAGTGTCCGGCAATGAGTGAAATTACCAAACAAAAAAAACAAAAAAAAAGGGAATAGCCCAAAATGTGAAAACAGGAAAATAGCACCGTGTAATCCATTTATTTCAACCAACTGTAATCCAATTACCACTCACTGAAACAGTAACTGTAACTGAATACAGTTACTCTCAAATCTGCAAAGCAAATTTACCTAAGGCTACAAATAAAGCAACCTAACCTAACCTAACCTCATAATTTGTACTCTGATTACGTAACTCCGGTACATGTAATCTGTTACTCCCCAACACTGTAGGTGGTGTGTATCTACTGCTTCACATTTGCACTGATGATCTCTCTCTTTTTAGAATCAAACCCTAATCGCGACGCTGCTTCCCACCCAGAGTTCACACCACCAACACCACAGCACAGACAAAGGAGAAACAGGTCAAGGATGACTAACTCAGAGGACGGACAAGCAGCGTTTAAGTGTGCTATAGGGTAAGAGAAGAGTTTTTGGGGTGAATAAAAAATGGTTTTGGTGCTGTATTCTCCAAGGGTGAGGTAAGAGTTTTCTTATTATTTGCAAAAATGTGCACATATCTAATCATTGAGCTTTATTGCAGCTTTTGGTTGACACATAAAAAGGCGTCAAAGGAGGGAATTGTTAGGATAAATGACTAGGCTTAGGTGGTGTATAGGCGAGTTTCATTGTTGACAAAAGCGCGCGTTGCATGCTGGGAATTATTTTGGTCGACTCACGACTCATCACCCTGATAACACCAGCAAGACGCTCATGTAAGGGGAAGTGAGATGAATCAGGGGGATCCTTGTCACAGTCGGAGAAGATTGTGCAACGTGTCAAGAGGCCTGGCTGACCTGAGCACCAACGAAGAGGCACAAAATCTAAACCACGGTCGCCTCCCACTATAGTTTGTGTATAAAAATCACTGTATAGCATAAATGATGAACTTTTACGCCTGTGTTAACATTATTATTAGTCTGTACGACCATAAACGAAAAACAAAAAATCCTTACATTCTTTCATTCTCATTGTAGTTTATTTTGCACGATCATAAATGATAAAAAAATTTCGCTTTTGTTAACATTATTATTAAATTGTATGACCATAAACGGGGAAAAATAAATAAATAAAATAAAAATAAGAACGAGGAAGAAAGAAATTTCTGGTAGAGATTTTGGTTTGTAAAATATTCGGTGCAATAACTTTAAACAGTCCAACACTGTAGAAACCTTTTAAAAAGACTATAGACTGCTGTGTTTTGGAAAATATGGAGCTCTGGAGTTGATGAATTGTGCGTTGAGTTTTGTTTGTTTTAATTTATATTTTGTTTATTTATATGTACAGTGAGTGGAGCTGTGAATGCAAACTTGTTGTGCAGGTGTTTGGTACCTTTTGTTTCAGCTCGGACTCTTCCTGTCATGACCCATGTAGTCATGGTTTATGTTTTGTTTTTGTTTGCTGTAAATGATCCAATATATAAATAAATAAATAAAATAAATCACTGTATAGGTGTAAATATTCAGTCTCAAGTATGACTTTGGAATAAGTAAATTATCTGGACTTTATTTCTGTTTCAAGTGTAATTTATTTTATCTAAGCAGAAACTAACAAACACGCGAGATAAAAGATTGTTCTCCTCAACACTACCTCCATCAATATACAGTCGACTACCTTTAGATGTAAACCAAGACTAAACCAGGACTCAATGGTAGAACTAACAAAAACATGAAACTGACTCTTTAATGCTACTGCTACTTAAAAATTTTACTTTTACTTTTGTACTTTGTTATCTTCCACCTGTAGTTATGTGTTCTGTTTCATTTGTTTACAGCCCATCACTTCGGTCCACTGTGTTGTTTTTAAAGTTTTTACACACAAGCATAATATACAACACTGACATTTACACAGGAGCAGAACATTAGTGTTACAGATCTGGTTTGTCTTAAGCCATTGTTTCTGATTACTTTTAAATGAACTGAATGTGGTGGAGTCTCTTCTAGCAGCTGGGATGTTGTTCCAGATTTCTGTGCCCTTGACTGATCACACCTGTTGACTGCAAGTTGTGCGTCTATAGGGTTTTGCACAGTCGCCTCTGGTAGACGCTCTTGTTCCCTGACCACTAGTGCTGGATTTGGGCTTAATGAACTCACCCAGAGCTGGTGGAGCGAGTCCATTTAAGACCTTGTAAACTGAGCAGGCGAGTTTAAATTTTTTAAAATTTCCAAACTTAGAATATTATACTTCTGTAGTATGAGACAATGATGAAAAGATAAAGATTTCCTATCAAATATCTTTAACACTTTTTTAAGGTTGTCATGCTTGTCAGTGACCATTTAGTAATAGAGTACTGCAATACTCGAGTTGAGTTGAGTCAGCCAACAGAATGATATCTCCTATCTTCAGATTCATAAAGCTTTAGGCTATTCATTCACAAGGGTGATTTATTCGACGGTGTTATGATAAGTCATTCTGCTTTGACCCAAAGTGCACATGAGGTGAGGTGAAGAAACTTGCTCAAAAGATTAATGTCAGAGGTGGGATTCAAACCCATCCTGTTGAATATGGGGAATACCATATTTTCCACACTATAGTTTGCACTTAAAAGCCTTTAATTTCATCAGAAAAATGACTGTGCGCCTTATAATCCAGAGCGCCTTATATATGAATTTATTGGGGTGTCCTAGTACGACTTTAGTAAACTACAAAGCTGCTCCACTTGCAGCATTACGGCTCCCGTAGTCAGGAGCATCAGGAGTAAAACATACTGTGATTCCTTTTAATGTCAAAATGCACCTGTCAAGAGACACGTTTACAACGCCCACTTTAAACTCAAGGCTGTTATAAAGTGAAAGTGTGAGCTGTGTGGGAGCAGTGGATGAGAGAAGAAGAACACACATTCACCAAGACAGAGAGACAGCACCGAGCCACTTACACCACGATCTGCCAATGGATCGTGGACGCCTGGACTAAGGATCAGTATCAACTGTGGTCCGAGCTTTCACCAAGACCAGAATCATCACTGAACTGCCAGGGAACAGTAACCACACTGACTCGGATAATGACGAGAGGGATGTGGACGTGATGGACGCTGTAATCACCCAACTGTGTGAACAATTATGACTTATTGTGAATACACCAACAATTTAACGTCTCAGACAGTTTTTTGTTTTTTTATGCGTTACAATTGAACAAAGTTGAGAGTTATTGTGAACGCGTTAAATAAAGTTTGACTGACTTATCTAACTGTTGTGTTTGGTTTACTGCACCTTATAATTCGGTGCAATTTATATGTGAAAAAAGTTCAAAAATAGACCATTCATTGACAGTGCACTTTATAATCCAGAGCGTCCTATAGTGCGCAAAAAACAGTATACTGCCAAAATAAACCACCAGACTAACTAAGGCTTAATTAAATAAAAAAATACACTTTGAATGGTTAAAAATCATCACAATTTGGTTGGAGCTTCGGTTGTGTTGAAAGTCGCTGTATAAATGCAATGATTAGTTAATTAAATATATCTTGAACATGCAAAAGCAATAGTCCCACAGCAGTCCACCCTGAAATACGTAGAACTGCACTGCCTCCTGGTGGTGTGCAAATACACGATTAAAGCATCAGTTCATATCCAAATAAATGACTTTTTATTCGGGAGAGTGTGATTTTCCTGTATATTTGTATCTGATATGTGAAGCCAGTTGAGACAGCGACATGGCTTCTTAAAATTACAGACTTCACGATTTATTTCCAAATCAGTACACCGCTTGCAGTTGCGTGTTACTTCCACTTGAAGGCAGTATAGACCGGACTTCTTCATGTGTCAGGATGGCCGAGCGGTCTAAGGCGCTGCGTTCAGGTCGCAGTCTCCCCTGGAGGCGTGGGTTCGAATCCCACTTCTGACAGAAAGCTTTTGAGCATTGCAAATAAATAATTATTAATGCCAAACTGTGAAACATTT